AAGATGTAACGAAAGCCTGATGATTGTGAACAACTTGTGCTTTCCTGATGTCTGAGAAACTGGCATAGAGTGAACGTGATAAAATGAAAAATGGTCATAATTTAAAAGAAGATATCTTAAAGAATGTTTTTACTGTTTTGTCCATATGATGAAAATGGACTAGTGTTATTTTAGTATTATTCAGAATTATTTTATTATTATTTTAGTAGGATTCAATAGCATCTACTATCACATTAGGCAGTTGTAGTCAACTACACTGGTTTGGTTTAGGTATAATGAGGACTTCTCACCAATGTCCTCAAAACTGAAGTCAAAATGACGAAAACTTTATGATATGCATGTCTGAACAATTTGTCAGGCATTTTTAGAGCAAGAAATAACAGCCTCAGTCCTAATTGATATGATTAGTTGAGCTGACCTGAAGCCGCACAAACCTCCATTGCAACTTTCTGTTGATCTCAAATGGTTTGGGTTTCTAATTCTTGCCATGTATACTCCAATTTGCATTTATCCTTTTTACTTGCACATTTAAATTTGTAGCCTCTTTCTATAAGCATTTACAGCTAATTTTTGAGTGAAGTAATCCTCGCACATGGATTTTAGCTCTGCTGAAAACCAATCCTGTCTTGTATCTGTCACTCTGCCCGTCTTTGATTTTGCATTAGCACTATCCTGATCAGTGTGAGCCAGAGGTTATTCTGTGATATATGAGTGTTGTCATGTTGAGGGGATGTAGAGGAGAGGGAGCTCATCTCTCCATTATGAGGATCGTCACAGTCACCCTGCAATGCTTCACAGACATTGTGGTTCATGGCTCGATCAAGGAGCTGCCAAGCGCATATGATTTTAATGTTGAAAACCAATGAAAAATGATGGATTGAATAATAAGCGGGAGGATAGGTAGCAATGCTTTACTCATAACAGCTCTGGTGAACATGTGAACACAATGCTTCCAATATGCATCTGACTCATAAACACTGCACGTCTCCTTCTGTAATCATCAGCTAGGAGCTGTCATGTCATTTGAAGGTTTAATTATTAGAGGGCATCACACTTCTGCTGCTTATATTTCACACATTCTGGATGAGTACTCACAGTCAACGTGCCCTATCTGACTGCTTTCCTGCACTGACATTATGTGAAAAGGAAATGCATTGAATTCTTACTTCAGTTACTATCTATAAACTTGTTTAATTTATGTTAAACTTGTTAAACATAAATATGTGCGAAAATATGCTCACATAAGCATGAAATGGCTAAATAGCATGAAATGGCTTTTTGCATTATGGCAAAAAGCATGCACAAAAAGCACAACATAAAAAATAAAATAATTAAAACAAAAAATAAAGAGAAAATAAAAATAAAAATATATATTTTTTAGAAAATTTAAAAAAATCAAGAGAAATTAGTGTTTAAATATCTACATAATGACAACAGTATATATGATTTTCACATTACATCATTTCTAATATAATTTTAAAGAAAAACACATTATTGCTAATTAGTAAAGCTAATAACTTAGTATAATTTTTCACTATGCATGTATATACAGTACACACACACACACACACACACACACACACACACACACACACATTCTTCTAAAAATGTATTAAAGATAAAGCACTTTTTTAAATTAAGAAAGCAACTAGCTTAGTGTCATTTTTCAAAATACGTTTTACCATATACGTTTGACTGCTTAGAGAATCTCTATCACTATTCTTAATGAGCATTATGCAGTTTGTTGTAAACAACTTAATCCATTACTGTCTTTATTTCTTGAAAGGCTGGTGAGAGCACTTTCACATACAAAGCACAGCGCCGATTTTCCAAGCTACTGACAGAGGTGCCGGCGGTGGATGTGTATTGATATGAGGAACCAGAAATAGACATTTTGCCCCTTGGATCAGAGCACAGAAATCATCTTTCATTAGAGCTCTCTTGCCTGATATCCTTTGACACACACACACACACACACACACACACACCAAACAATAAGGAAAAACCAAAGGGAACAAAGAACAGAATGACTGGCAAACAGACAACCATAACATTCAACAACTCACAAGGAACTAAAGAAAAACTAGGGCTATATATACACACAGGGGGCTATCAAGCTTAACAAGATAAGACACATATGGGGAGACTAATCAAGGGGAACCAATGAACAAACGGACTACAAAC